CTCTTGTTCATTTTTCTTTCGTAATTCGTTTTTTCTCTTTTCATCTAAATGAAAATGTTCATTGATTTATTTTGAAATTTCCAATAAAATTTGCTTTCATTAATTTTATTTTGACAAAACATATTTTTAATTCAGTTTTTATTAACAAATGTTTTAAAATCGAGCCACTCAAATTGGAAAATGATAAAACTTGTTAATTTATTAAACAAAAATCTTTTCAACATTTGTTTTATTCAATAAAATACATTCCAATGAAATTTTTCTAAAACATTTCTTTCTTCTTCAATTTGAGACAATTTAATTATTTTTATCAAATAAAAATATACAAATAGAATATTCTGAAATACAAAAACTTCTTTTCATAGAATTTTTCTTTGAATTCAATTCAAATTACAAAATATTTTATTTGTTTGACTCTTCTAATGAAAGTTACCAATTCAATTCAAGGTTGATAAAAAAAACCAAAAAGATTTTTCTTCGTTGTTTTGTCAAACTATGTCTTTTTCTGCAAATTCTAATAAATTTCTTTCATTGATTTTCAATAATAAAACTTGGTTTTTTCTTTTATTTTTCGGTTATTTATTGAACAAATAGTTGTTTCTTTTTTCAAAATTAAAATTTCATTCACAAAGTTATTTCAAATTTTTGAATTCGATGATTGATTTGATCAGCAACATAAAGATTTCCTTCATCATCAAAGGATAAATCAGTGGGAGAATCTAATTGATTTGATTGATTTCCAGGACCATTTCCACCAACAACAACTTCACCTTCTTCTTTTCCCTCACACCAACGCATTACTCGATGATTCCCCCGATCTACCACATAGATTTGACCCAAATCATCAACAATTGCTCCTTCAGCAGCAGACAATTGGTTGAGATTTCCTCCTTGACCATTTCCTCCAGCCACAATTATTCCTTCTTTTGCATCTTTTCTCCATTTCATCACACGAAGATTGTAGTCATCTGATACATAAACAGATTGGTCTTCATCAACAAAGATAAAACGAGGAACATTGAGTTGATTGGGTTGATATCCTTGTCCATTTCCACCTGCTACTATAATTCCTTCATTGCTGTATTCTCCCATTTTCCATCGTCTCACTTCATTCTTCCTATAATCAGAAACATAAAGATATCCATATTTATCTATTGCCAAGCCATAACAGTCAATACGTTCAATGAGAATTTGTTGATTTTGATTCAACCATTGAATCACTCGTCTGTTCGCCGTATCAGCAATGATGATTGAATGATTTTGTTGGTCAACAATTACATCTGTTTGAAAATGCAATTGATCCGTTCGATTTCCTTCGCCATTTCCACCTGCAATGATTTGTCCTTCTTTTGCATCTTGTTTCCATTCAACAATACGATGATTGTAAAAATCAGCAATGAAAATATTTTTCTTTTTATCAATAGAGATTCCACAAGGGCGACTGAGTTGATTTAGTTGTCGTCCTTGTCCATTTCCACCAGCCACAGTGATACCATCTTGTTTCCATTTCTTGAATTTCGGTTCTAGAAAAGAATGAAAACAAACGACTTTGATGAAAAGAAGAAGAAGAAGAGGGAAATTGTTTTTTATCTAAGAAAAAAAGAAAAGATTAGTTTTCAATGAAACTTTGAGTTTGTTTTTTTGTTGAAGTTAAATTGTAAATGAAACCAATGGCGGAGCCGGGGAGGGGAGGGTGAGGAGAGCGCTCAGCCGCCTCCCCTAGCAAGATTTTGAAAAAATATATTTTTGTGATACAAAATCATATTATTCTTTGTAATGGAATACTCTATGAGATATATCTTATTGTGTGGAAATCATATGTACTTTTCGAACAAATAAAAACACATTTCATATGAGCTTCAGCTAGATTCTACAGATTTCTCAGCTTCATATTTCACTCGTTCGATAACGTAAGGCGCAAACAACGTAGAATCAACGCAAAAGCTTTTTTCGCTTTTTCACACATGGTTGGATAGAGCTCGTCGAGCTGAGTAAGACTATATCAGTTTTTATATTTTTTTCGAAAGGTTTTTGTTGATAAATTTCGATTTTTTTCCAAAGTGCTGAGAGACTCATTTTCTTGAAAAAAATATTAGAAAAAACTCATCGCTTAATGTTTTTTTCACTTTTGAATACCCTTACATTTTACAAGCTTATGTTCACTAAGGAATAACAAAAAAAAGGTCAGATCGATGTAGTTTTTCATGATAAATCTAAATATGTTATTGTCATAGCTCGAAGAAATGTAAAAGCTCTCTAAAATTGAAAAAAACATTAAAAGATGAGTCTTTTTAACATTGTTTTTCAAGAAAATGGATCTTTCAGCACTTTGGAAAAAATATAAAAACTGACGAATTCTTACTCAAATCAACGAGCTCTATCCAACCAAGTATACAAAAAACGAAAAAGAACTTTGCACTGGTTGCGTAAAAAAATTATACTTCGTAAGATGGACCAAAACGGTTCAGGGCGTTGAGCCCTCTCTCCTCTCAAAGCTCAAAATCCTGGCTACGCCACTGGAATGAATGTGACTGTGCATGAAAAGAATATAATGCTCACATCATTCTCATGAAAAAATCGATGTATCAACAGTCAAATATCGATGTTTATGAAAGATGTGTTTCTCGAGTGTTAAGTTAGCATTTTATCGAACTACAATTTCTTTTGAATACGTCAATTCTATATAAATGCTACCTGAAACATGAGATTAGGTGTTCATATCAACTGACACTGTTACGTGTATAATCATACCGACAAATCAGATTAAAACTGACCATATCGTGAATAAATATAGATTAAAATCTACTGTTTTAGTCATAAAAGAAGATTTTTCTTGAATTCACTTCTGTTCTCAAATAAGCAACTATGAACAGCCAGAAATGTTTAGTATGCGAGTTTGCCTAAATTATAATGTGAGTAATTGATAGAGATGGCACTTGTAATAGACTCGTGCTGACAGTGTACTATGAGAAATAGTGATAACTACAAAAAGCATTGGACCTAAGTCTTCGAAGATGGCTCAATAAATCTTAGATTTCTGACATAATCTGGTTGATGTATGATAGTACTCATAACATTGGGATCGGATAGAAGGCGTATCTCTTTTCATTTGGATGGATATTTCCAATTATCTTCTATGCTATATTTACAAGCCATGGTGTTATCTGACTTTATTTAGTCATAGTATCTATCATTATCAACCTTTTCCGATGTAATGAGAAGTTCCTGAAATGATCACTCAGTTCTACCATGTGACAATCTTTTCATCGACAACATATTTGCATGATACCGTTGAAATCGATTGACATATCCAATATTTGACTAGTTGTAAATGAAATTAATTCATCAAGTTTTGATCCTATTTCTAGCCCTCATACAACGTTCTCTGATGTTCTATATCTAGATGAAGAACACTGGACAGCCAAAATCAAAATTTTTAGCTTTGGTCATTTGCAATACTCATCGTATAGGGTATGACAAATTATCCAGCATATTACTAACCTGACGTTGTTGATGTTGTCGTTGAAGTTGATGTGGTAGACGATTCTAGATTACAAAAATGAGTTTAGAAAGAGACTAAATGATTGAATAAGACTTTATTCCTAATTTCTTTCGTTCTCCTCTTCTTCTTCTTCCTCTCTTACAATCTATCGACCGTAACTATTAGTGCATTATAATAACATAGGACATCGTTAGATGCCTTACATTATAATTGCAATTCTATGATCTTTACTTTCACCCTAGTCGTACCATGGAGGTCATTTCTGTCCGTTCTGTTGAGGGAATATACAGTGATAAAAAAAGGCTTGATAGTACCAGGGTTAATTACATCTCGACTATAATAGTTTGGACAACTCATTTTACATTTGTTATACGTTTAATAATGAAACATTTGCAGAATTTTAGAAATTAACTCATATAACATTTGCATACTCCTACTGTTCTTGAAATATTTCATTTTCATTCAAGACGACACTCCGGCCAGAAACTTGTCCTAATTCAACGGTCAAAGCTTATACAGCTTATGTTTAGCTATCAGAAAATGGAATCAGTTCACGTCGGTCTAGTTCATCGCTTGCTTTTCAAAACTACTGATTATTGTAGCTTAGCTAGTTATACTGTTAAAAGATTCTTTGTGGCACAGAGAAAAACTTCAGGATAATCCCGTTGGATCCTAATCAGATCTGCCAGAATAGGTTCATTTCTTTTTCAAACTGTTTTTGATCATCACCTCCATAAAAACAAATCCTGTATATTTTCTTATTTATTGTCTAAGATCTTGGACAATGCGCTGTGAATTTCTATGCAATATCGATCAAATTCTTTTTGAAACACGCTAATGTCAATTTTATTTCACCGAATAATTCTTTGCATTTGAGGGTGTGAGTGTGAGTGTGGGTGTGGGTATCTCTTCTCTTAACTTACACCCACATCCTTTTTTTACTTTCATTATATTTTATTTCAAAAAATAAACCTTTTATGCAGTGTTAAACTTAAGTTTAAGTCTTCACTTATGTCGTAAACTATTGATCTGGTACTTTTAGGAATGGTTTTAATGAACTCCCCAGCAGCTAATTAGTCGGTGTAGATCATAAACAAAGAGAGGGGAGGGGCAGATAAGTGTATTTGTCCCCACATATCATGTATACATTGTATGAAAGTTTTGAATTACTTTGTAAGTCATTTCCGGCATAAATTCGAACGAATGATTCGATCAAAGATCTTTGCAGTTTTTTGTAAATACAATCAACAGAAAAATAATTTATCATTAGAATTAGTTGAAGATAAAAGATGATTAAACTTTAATCTTTGGTATTTCAAATAACAAAAGAAAACTGAATAAAAATATCTGTTTCATTTTCTTTTGGACAAGCGAATCAGAGTTTGTTCTTTGAATTGATGATGCATATCGATATCGATAGATGACTAATCGAAAGTCAAGAGAAGACAAATTCTCACATTCATACTGGCAGGTTGGTGAACGATAAGCATGAGGAACGATGAGCACGAAAAAGTTAAACACCGGAAAATTAAGCATAAATAAAATAAAATAACAGCGTGGTCTCATATAAAAGACTAATCAAGGGTGTGAGTGAGGTTTGTGTGAGTGTAGGTGTTAAGTATAAACAAAATATAGTGCTTACAGTCACACCCGCCGACATTCGCACCCACACCCTGCTTAACTTTCTCGTGGCCACCATTCCCGTGCTTATATCGTTTCCGTGCTCATCGTTCCGATTATCCACACTGGCACCACTGTGTATTCTGCGATATTTTCTACAGATGTTTCTCGATTAGTTTTCTACCAGAATTTTGCAAATACTATATTCTAAGCGAACATCCTATCAGAAAGATCTTAATCAAGGTACACAGAACTAAAAAGATTTTGAAACTTTAGATACAAGATAATATTATTGTTCTATATCAACATCTATAATTTGATCTTTGATATAGATTTATAAGATTTTAGTGAAGATACACAGGATCTAGTATAATCGCTATAGTTCGTGTATGGATGCCCTTAAATACTTCAGCAATAGTCCATTCGATATCGCGTCTACAAGTGTTAAAAATCAAATCAGAGATCAATGGTCATTTTAAATAATCTTCAAAATCTTTGATCTCAAAAACATCTTTAAATGAAAATTCGCCACACTGTATTCATAAACAGTAGTAAACTCACATTGACAAAGAAATGTTACGTTCATATATTTTAATCACATCAGATTCATCTGTACACAAGATCAATTCACATTTATCTCCTTTGTATCTTGGTTACAAGATGTTTTATTAGAGAAATTACACACTGAAAAACTTCCAAAGGACAATTTTTGAAAAAAATATTCGAATTTCCTTCTTCATTTCACAAATATTTACCATTTGTAAATTCTATTCTATAAAATGTATGAAAGACTTTTGTAAATTTGTTTTCTTATCTCTCAACTTTAGGTAAACAATGACAAAAGAAACTCACTCATACAAAGACAAAACGTCGTTTTGAAAAAAAAGAAGTAAATCTTCTCTTGTTGTAATAGTTCTTCAAAGATTCTTCGTTAAAATATTGAACTATGAATTTCATGAAAAGTATCGATATTTTTCTGTGTGAAATATAATCTCGAATTTGTCTCTATCAAAAACTCAACGATAGAATTCTAATCTATATGGATATTCTTATAAAATATTCTGAAATAAAATCAACACTTAACACACCATGAAAATGTGTTAATAATTTACTAAAAAAGAAAAGGTCACCACCTTATTTTATTTTGTAATATAATACCTGTTGTCGTCGGATTGGTCACTGTTGTTGTTTTTTTTCTATCAGTTGATGATTGTATTATATTTGTTGTTTTTTTTTTAACATTTGATGTTTTTTTTTTATTTGTTGTTGTTCTTCTTATAATTATCATGATTGCAAAAGTTACGATCACAATAACAACGATAATACCAATGATGATCCATAATAATTTCTTTTTTGTAAAACATTTGCTTCTATAATAAACAATAATACTTTTAATTATGAATTTCAAGAATTCACAAAACACATACGACGATGTTGATCGATCAGTTGGTGTTTGTTGAGAATTCGACGTAACTGGTTCAGACTAAAATAGTTTATTAATATCAAACGTTATTTTATCTAATTCAAACAAAATCTATTACATCACAAACTCCTATTTGATTTCGACTCATAATGAGTATGTTGTGCACGTGTGGGATTGAACTAATAGCTTATTAAAATCAATAATCTAGAGTATGAAATAAAAACTGATGATATCAAAATAAAACATATCTTCAATAAATATGAGGAGAAAATAATACTTGAGAAGAAAAGATTAGTTGAAAAATATGAAGAGATACTCGAGCAAAACTAAAACAATGAAAAACACATTGTTTAGAAATCACTTGAAAGCAAAGGGTAAATTGAATTGAATTGTGTTAATTATAGAGAGAGAGAGAGAAAGAAAATTATTAATATAGAAATGTGTTTATAAAACTTTTCGGAATGGTTTTAAATAATTTTGCCAAAACTGAAAAAATCATTAAAATACTGGTGAAATTTAGTTTCATCTGAGTGATAATCAAAATAAAATAGGGTGTGGGTATCTCTTCTCTTAGCAGACACTCACATCCACCCTCATTGTCGAGTGGAATTAATCTATTGTCATTGATCTTGTTAATAATGACAAGATCGATTTGATTATCATTGTTGAAACCACCAACGAGCGTTTTGCCCCACGTACGCGAATATCATTTTCCAAAGACATTACCATATTCAAGTAAGACATTAATATTGTTTTTAGTCAAACTAAACAACAGCAAGATCTAGCTGATTATCACCATTAAAATCAGCAGTAGTATGTGACTTTGTGGGAAAAGTAAAAGTATTTTTGTCGATTGATATCTTTTGAAATTGCAATGAGCAAGAAGGTTCTAATGACAAAAAAAAAGAAAGAATGTATAAACACACATTTGTGAACGAGATTTATATAAAGAAAAACGAACCAAAAGCATCTGTTTCTCAGTCTTATAAATTATTACATACGAGTAGTGATTATTTTTAGAAATCAAAAAAGCTCAAGTGTCTCTATTTATAACTGCATTTATTTAAATAGATATGTATTATTGGAAAGCAATTCGATAGTTTCTGACTCGATTCATTCGTTTATGAGACAAAAATATTCAAGATAATTATATCGAAAATCAAAAACTATCAAATTGAAAGTTGAAGTTTTTGTTAAAAAACAGAATGAAAATGAATCGATGCTAGCTGTATTGGAAAATACGTTCATGTTTTTCAATCTCGACTTTTATGTATATGCAGATATATATTCTTCGTTATTCAATCTTAGGAAATATGATTCGATAAGTGACAAAGTATTTAATTGATTTCCATTTGAACTTATTCATTGGTATGTATTGAGGGTGTGGGTGAGTGGTTGGTTATGGCTGTAGGTATTATATTCATGTCTCACACCCGCACTCCACACTCACACCTAAATCCCCAGGATAAAGGTATGACCATCGTCTGGCTCAATTACTGGTAGGGATTAGACTTTGATGTTGGCTGGTGTTAAGGGCAGGGTTAGAGATATCGTTTCTGGGTGAAATCATGGACGGAGTTCGGGACTTTGATGTTCCGTGAAATCATGGGTGGGATTGGGAAGCCTGTTGTTGGCTGAAATCATGGATGGGATTAAGGATCCTAATAGTGGGTGAAACTATACATGAGATTAGGGATCCTAATGTTGGGTGAAAGTATGGTTCGAGTTAGGGATCTTGATGTTGGGTGTAATTATGGGTGGAGTTAGAGAGCCTGATGTTTTCATTTTGAAGAAATAAACTATTTGTCTGTTATACTAAACAAAAATAAAATTATAGTCATGATTTCTAATCCCTTTCAATGAATAGAAAATAGAATTATCTCACTGCCGTTTCTGGATAACAAATAAATTACCTCAGGAATTTTGTTTAGTTTTCAAATCCTAAAAGGAAATTTCGCTAACTTTTTTTACGGATAAGTTAAAATGAGGATGTTTACGTTTTTTACATATTTTCATTTAACAAAACTACTGAAACGTTTGTTACAGTAATAAGGCAGTTGACTTTATGAACACTGCCGAATGATATTTGTTCACTGAAAACAAAGCATATCAATACGATCTGAGTAGTGTCCTTATAATAACTATCTTCACTTGCTTAATCTCACTATTTCATGTGTTCAGTGGTCTAAAATTATCGTTTTACAGTATATCTATTTTTTGTTTCAAGATTGACTCGAACGAGGTTCAAGAGACCGACGCCTTACTTGTTCAGAATAAAGAATTGTTTTCTTTTGGCAAAACTATACCTGCTGTT